GTCACGACATTTTAGCGTCATGTTCATTTTACCGTCTTTTATAATCGTCTTTTATAGTCTGCCGTACGCACGTGCACGTGCGAACAAAACACGTGTTTTGTTCGGTGCTACAGTCGTATGACACGACAGCCTGCAGTTTCAAGTGATTCTTAATGTTGACTAAAGAAGGGCCTATAGTCCTCGTGGTACCGATTGAGAGATGTGAGCAGGTTGTAGTAGGCCATTGGGCAATGCTTTGTGTAGGATAATATGAACCCGCTATGAAGCTGGTAATCGCTGTTTAATGCGTAAGAGTTTGGTCGGTTAACGTCCTGATAATATCTATGTTATTGCCCCATTACCGGGGACATTCTTGTAACTGGCCGCCTGATAAAGGACCTGGTAAACACCCGATAATGCTGCCTGATTACCGGGTAACTTGTAACTGGCCGCCCGATAAACGACCCTGGTAAACCACCCTGGTAATGGAGCCTGATTACGGGTAACTGGCCGATTAACGACCCTAGCCCGTTAACAGCCCAGTAACCTTATAGCCTGGTAATCGAGGCCGGTTACCAGGCGTTCCCATTATCGGGCCAATAACATGCGGTAGGGCTTATGGCATCGTCTCAACAGGTACATCTGCCACCAATGAAAACGAGCAGCGGAAACGCAGGCGTGTGGACGACTTTACGGTCGACATGTACCCTGAAATGCTGGCTATAGACACTACCCCCACACAGCGACAAATTTCTGCGGCAGCTACAATTGCCCAGCCACAGCAACAAATGGTTCACCCGTTCACGACAACCACCACGCCACTACAGAACCAGCAGTCACAGGGTATCGCTGGCGCAGCTGCTTTACCATTCCATGAAACACAGCAGCATGATATGATTTGACACCTCATGCCCTGCCAGCTCAAACTGGATGGCTCATGCAGCCAGCACCTGTCGGCGCTTTGCACCAACGATTCCTACCCTTACCGAACGCCAACAACCAACAGCAGTCGACACCAGCAAATGCGCAGCCGACGCTTCCACAATCTCCTTCCGGAGCGATTCGAACACCACCACCACCACAAGCTGCGCTGGATTACGTTGCTCAGCTGTTAAGCTCTGGCATAAACCCGGTAAGCCTGTGACTGATTAATCACTTACATTTAGAAGTATCATGGACTACTTAACTGAACAATACCAAATAAATGCAAAATTAACAATGTTTGTCATAGCTTTTAAATAAGCTATCATGCAATTACCGCACAAATGCGTAATGTAATACGAAATAGCACTGCAATGCATGCTACACAAGCATATTCATATATTGCACAATCCCACCAATTCAACATTTACCCTCGTTCTGCTTTTAAAATGCTGTGCAGCTCGCGTTCTTCAGCACTGCCCTAGCAACATTGCAGCCGCAACTGCTACAAACGCTGGCGACGCCAAATACTCTTTCTGGAATGGCAAGTCCAGCACAGCTCCCGTCCACAACTGCTGCTGCATGGATTGACGCACTCAATGTGATCAGGGTAGGGCCACCAACCGAGCCCATCCTGGCACTTTTGCAGACTCGTGTCTTCCCAAAATTTCGTTGCAACCAAAAAATCATGGCACATAGCTGGAACAAACGAAGAAATCAACAAGTATATCCAAGATATGGCACACACCCACTTTCAACAACAACTGCAGCATATTACAGCTGCCGACAAGCTTCACAAAGGAAATAGGTATGCGCCCGATGACGTAGCTTATCTGTACAAAGCAACGCAAGACCAAGGCGTGCTCCTAGATCACCTTTACCTCGCTCCCGGGATGATGGTCATGGTTACCAAGAACCTGTCGGCCTCAAAAATCGAAAACGGTGCTTTAGCTATCGTGCAAGAAATCACCGAATCCATGCTGTCACTCCAGCTTTTGGACTCACAAACCATTCGCCTGCCAAGGATATGCGAGGTCAATTACAAGAATGGTGCTGAGCTTGAACGCAAAATGTTCCCGGTCGTGCCTGCTTTTGCAAGAACTGTACACAAGGTGCAGGGCGATACCATATCGGATCCCGTCATTATTGACTTAACAAACATGTACCGACTAGGGCAAGCATATGTAGCACGCTCGCGAGTTGTGGATATTGAGCAGCTGCACATCCTCCCCATCGACATCCAATTGACACCGAACATGTTCAAGGCACATGTACCCCCTTAAGCACCATGATTCATTTTACTGTTAGGCTGCTTACGTTGTTCCTGCTACTGCCTGTCACAGTCTTTGCATTACTATGACCTTAGACACCTATCCCACGTCCCACCTGCAATGTCATCAACCGTCACAACTTTTACAGCAGCTGCGTGACATCAGTCCCAGGCTCAAGCCATGGGTTTATCCGTCCAGCAGTACGAAGGCCTTGGTTTTCACACTCCGCCCACCGCCATAACAACACGCGCCACACGACGCCCCGACGACGAACGAACCCCAAAACAAGAAGCATTCCTTAATGATATGTCAATCATGCCATGTGACTGGCCAACCACAATCTCCGAATGCTCAAGACTCCTAAGCAGCAGGACAGCAAACTATGAAGACTTCAAGAAAAAATACAATGAAAAACCTGCATCAGCTCTCCACTCACGAGGATTATCTATGGACGAAATTCACAAGCTTACTAAAAGCCAGGCCAGTAAGCTCATGGACAGCCATGCGTCAGGAGAACAGGCCACAGCAGCACAGCTTGCTCAGTTGCAAAGGCTCAATGTACAGCTACTGCAGCAACCACTATCCAAGGGGGATCCGTCAACACTCATTTCACAGATCTCCGTCAAAGCACAGGCTGCAACGCCATCACAGAAGGACCTACTCAAGAAACTCACAAATCAAGCAGGTCAACGAATCACAGACGAGCAGCTGGACGTCATGACGCTGGCGCAAGCCTCTACACTCATCGGAGGCAACAAGGCAAATGGTAAAATCAACCACTACGACGACAACTTACATGACAAGGGTGGCGGACCATCCCAAGATGGTGCTGGTGGTGCTTCCGCATCGGCAAATGTATCATAAATAGCGTAGCTATTGAACAAATGTGACAGTCGTCTGTGTGCAATCATGCTGGGCCTATAATTAGCTGTGTTCCTGTCGATGTAGAGTGCTCATTGTAGATGATTGGATGAGCGGATGTCTTCCCGTATGCATGCATGTCTTGCGGCAACAGTTGCATGAATGCAACATTAAATGCAGCACGAGCATTCAAAAGCTTCGTTGAATGGTTTGGGAATCTGTGATGATTACTAAATGCATAATCGGCATAACTACACTGCAACGTGTTGATTTCAGTATGGATACCGCAATAATCACTCACTGGTGCATGATGTGCATTTCACATACGAGGACTTCGTGAAGTTATGGTGCATACCTGCATATGCATGCACAGCAGTCAAGACATGAATGCACTGCGAGTCTGGCCAGCTCAGCAGGCATGCAATCTTGACTGCAGTGGTGCAGGATTGCCTATTGCATTGCAGGATTGGCCAACCTACAATGCAACCTACAATGCTTTGTTCTCCAGGTGTGTCTTCATTCTAACGGAGCCATCTCGTCATGTTATAAACGTTGTTGCATGGTAAATGACGGCGTCAGGCTGCTACGCCGCTGCAATGCTAATCGCAAGTTACACTGAATTATGTGCCTATGAACTACTCGAGAATTTAATGATTATTTGCTCGGACGAAGGTGGGCTAGTTGCGGTAGGTTGCGGTTGTGGAACTGTTTAGCTATAGGTCAAAGCTTCACACTGGTCCCTGTTCGAATGGCCGTTATGTATTGCATAGATGAAATTTGTTGTTCTTGATGTTCTTCGCATGGTCTGTTTGCCAGCCAGCCTGCACGTGGTATGTCGCCACACAAAGGCTTCGTCTTCAGTCCCACGCCCTCTGGTCTATTTGCTGTAGCTCAACGTTGATGTTAGTCTGCTTCCGTTTAGGTCCGCGTTCATGACTTGTCCTTGCTGGTCTTCTTACAGGGGGAGGTCCATTTCCTTGACGGTCTCCTTTGACCTGTGAATCTCGCATTACCTGTAACAGGAAATGACATGTGACTTTCGACAACAACTCAAGCGTCTGCTGCAGCACACTTGAACGAATATGCTGGTGCGACCATCCAAACAAACTGTGCTGTAAGTGACAATACCACCAAGCATACGCACCCGGGCAAAATATCAACATCCCGCAAAATAAACCAAAACATAACTTCTACGCCGCCAGGACGCTGTGCGTCCAAATTGGACGGACGGCACACACTTAATAGCCAGCCGAAATGTACGTAACAAATACATTACCAGCGAATATTGAAACGTGGCATTAACATCACACACCGGAAGCACGTCCAACGAATCGTTGAATAGCATGTGCAAAAGTCCTTCTATGTCTGTGCGACGTAAAGCAAACTATTAAAAAATAATACGGAAGTAGCAGGCGGGGGCCCATAACCATTTACCCTGCCTTTAGTTTTCATGAACAGTTAACGAATTTCCTTCATTTTATTTTCCATTGGGACCACTGTACACTACTTTTATCGGACGTACGGATTGTACGCCATTGCTCACTTTGAAGCAGGGAAACAGCGGGATCGGAAATTTGCGAAAGCGTAAATTTGTGAATACAGTTTCCGTCCGCATCCGCAAGCAGAGTCAGGTTAAGCATGGATGGATGTTACAAGCTTCAGTGAGCTCGTACGGCCCAAACGAACCCGGAGGCCAGCTCACCCTGCGAATGTACGTCCACTCCTGTAGTGGGCACCAATGTCCACTCACTGAGTGGAAAATGGCGTTGCACCTAACACGCCATTGCAGCAAATAGGGGGGTCCTTGTGAAGCAGCTGCCCGCGTTTCTAAAGCCTGTATGTTGTTGGATAGTAAGTTGCAGAATGGGGCCAGGCTGGAGAGGCAAGTGCAGTGGCATAATGGAATGTAGATGAGTAGAAGCTGTTTCCAGGGCGCTTGGTGCACGGCACAATGTACATGCAGTCATGTCGTCGCAAGCGCGTATGCAAGAACAACAGGAACAACAACCAGAAGAACAAGAACAGCACCACAGGAACAGCGCGTGCAAAGGCCACGTTGCGTCGGTCCTTTGCTATGATGTAGGAACGAAGAATAAGGCCTAGGTTCAAGTTTCCTGTTGCGCGTGGATGGCCATGCCAGAACAGGCAACATGATGGGTGAACTCGCACGCTACCAACTTGCCCCCGAGCACGCGACGAGCGGACATAGAAAGGAGCGCAGCGGGCCCCCCCCCTTCCCCCAACGCTCACGCAATAGACCATCCAAGCGCTGCTGTCCGTATGGGCCGCAGCCGCCGTTCACACACGAGTTAAGTCCAACATGTATGCACCGTGAACATGTATGCACCGTGAATGAAACCCTAAGTGTGATCGTGCCCAAATACAACAGCACTGCCCAATGTCCAGAAGCCTAGCGCCGAAATCGTGGGACCCTGTCCGTCAAGCGTTAGGTGTCCAGTTGCTGTGTGGGCTAGGCGAGCGTGGCTGGGGCGTCATCGTCTTGGACTGTCACGGCAGTGGGCGTGTGGGCGCTGCCGGCGCATTGCCGGCTCATCGCGTAGAAGGCCGGGCTGGCGGAAGGCGGCCCGCGCAGCACATTGTAGCCGCCCGGCCCCCGGGCCTTGAACTGCGCGATGTAGAGGGCCTCCATCTTTTGGGCCAGAGCAGGATTGGCGGTGCGCAAAGCGTATGATAGTCGACCCCGCCGGCTAAAGCTACACGTCCCCAACTGAAGATATTCTCGGTGGTTTACCAGCAGGTGTTGTGCTTCTTGCTGTCTGATGTCCTGAACGCTTCCTCTTCCCGCAGCCGTTTCAAGCGCCCAGTCTTGCAAGCTACGTTTTATGCTTTCATATCTTTTCATATCTTATTCAGCTCAGGCTAAGCAGCCAGCCAAAAGTCCGAGATGCATACCGCTTGTGACTGCGGCCAACATGCCCTGACGAGCGGCCTTTCGCCGAAAAAATTACATACACTTTTACAGGCGCATTTTGAGAATTGAACGCGCGCATCCGCACGGCAAAATTCGCTCCTGGCTTTTTTGGGACGATGTACGAACTGTTTTTGGGCACAGTACGACCGGACACATTTTGTGCGAGAGGCTGCTTAAATAATCAATTGGAGTACGAATAGGTTGTTCTTAAAAGGTTCTCCTGTGCACGCGCTTTTTGAATCTTCAGGCTTGTCGCACGGCAAAACAATAGTACCCCAGCAACCCTAACTTGATTTCTATTATTATAATAGTAATAATTACAAATGCGTTGTTTGCGTACATACAGTATGCGCTTGTAGGCAGAAAATTTAGGGGGGATGTCCAGACGTTATCGTTCTATCGCGGAGCAACTACTCAACCTTCCAAGGACCTCCCGTTCTCATAGCACCCGTGCTGACAATACACTGGGGGTAGCCCGGCCTGTGCAAAAAAAAAGATACGCTTGATGATTGGGTAAAGCCCCGACCGCCCAAGCGGCCTCGGAAGCGTCCCGGCAGGGAGTATTATGAGGAACTCAGTCGCTCAACCGCTGCCAATGCGGCAGCGCGTGCCGCAGCAGCTAAGTCTTCTGGAAACGCTGATCCCGATCTGCCCGCTCCAACCATTGAGGACAACAACGGGCAGCTACCATCTCTTGACGGTTCGACGAGCCTGATGTCAACCAACATCGGCAGCAGCAACCACCCCGTCCACAACCCCAGGCGGGTTCTCGTAGGGGAACTGTTGAGGAGGCAAACGCCCGACGGCATGCCAACTGGCAGCGGTCATACTTTAACTTCGGCCTCTACGGCTTTGCCTACTTTGGCCGAGGTGCCGTAGGCTCAGCAGCCCGCCTACAGGCCTACCTGGAAGCTGAATTTGATGCGCGGGTACGGGACCGGCTTCCAGAGCTGTGTCTGCAGTGCCTGACAGCGGACTGGGCAGAGCGTGAGGGTCCACCCACAGCACCATCCACCCAGACAGCTTCCGGGGAGACCGTCCGCTTTGTGGCAGTGCAGGGGAGCATTGAAGCACCATATCCATGCTTCAGGTGCCGCCACTGCCCAGCCCAGCTGCCGTTTGTTCGGCAAGTTCACCCTCTGGAGATTGGGTGCTTTCCAAGCACACCAGACCGGCCCGTCGCCTGGTTTGACTGGGGGCTGATGCAGCAGGTCTGCTTCCTGCGTGCAGAGAGTCCATGCTCAGCCTCAGCATACTCCAAGATGCTCCAGCGTCAACACGCGATTAATGGGCTTCCCACCCCAGCAGGCATCGCAGATGCAGTTGGAACCGCGGCCGCCCATTGGGACAGGGTACAGAGCCTGATGCGAACCTGTGAGCTCCTGGGTGTAGATGACATCCTTGCCTTGGAGCCTAGCAATGCCACCAGAGGAGCCAGTACCTCGGATGCTGCTGCTGGTGCAGTAGCAGCAGCTGGTGGTGGCCGCTGGATGGACTGCCCTGCTTGCTGGCGGCAGTGTGTTGCTGTGTCAGGCGACGCATGCCTGGGCCTTCGGCACTTTAAGGCTGCGGCCAGTGGCTCCCTCGACCTGCAACCCCTCGCGGCTGGTGATTTGTTTATCTCGGAGAAGTTGGTGATGGAGCGCCTGAAGCAGCGTGGAAAGATGGCGGACCCAGATGCTGTTTCTTGCTCTAAGTTCAAAGCTGCAAAGGTCTTCGGGCGGCGTGCTGCAAACTATGATCGCCTTGGTGTCGCAGCATTTGCTTGTAGGCATGGCTTCGTCCCGGCCATGGTGAGCCTGCATACAGAGGAGGACTTTGTGTACTACGAGGTGCTGCTGGAAGCTCTGAAGCAGAGGATGGATCTGGCATCTGTCAAGGCAGTGTTCCTGGATGTCGCGTGCAAGTTTGAGGGCTACTACAAGAGGTAAGCTTTCTGGGGACACAATGTGCACATGCTCAAGTTAACCTGAGTTGACAGGCTGAGGTCTCCATTTTATATCCATCCCTGGGGTTGGTCAGGGTTTGGGAGTTTAGTCCCTTTCAGATTTTAACTTGAGTTAAGCTTTTCCCCTGCGAAGAAGCTGAATATCTGTTGCCTTGTTTTCCACAGGATCTATGAGGAGCTGGACTTGCCTGCTGGTCTGCCCTTCGCCATCGGACCATGGCACATCCGACCACACAAGCCTGAGTGCAATGTCCGCTGCAACTCACGCTACATGCCTGGACTGGGGCTCACATTCGGGGACCTAATCGAGCACCTTTGGGCAGACAATCGGAGACACTGGTACATCACGGCGTATATGTCCCCAGCTGCACGCCAGGACTTCATCAACGGGCTGGTGAGTTTAAATCTGG